ACAATTTTGTTTGTATCCTGCGAGTGAATTTCTATACAAATTGTCACAGGTATGCAACTTTTACGATATCACGCATAAAAGTTTAAAAGAACCAGTAAGCTACTAATATTATGTGTATCGACGAATACAAATTGTCTGCGGGATTCAACTTTAACTTCAGAGTATTTTATGTCATAGAACACAGTCGGGATATATATATTGCACAAGTGAATACTTGGGTGTCTATTGATAGGAACAATTATGTGAACAAATATATAGTTATATATTGCGTGTACATTATTTATAATTTCATTTTTACATATAATACAAACAGTTTGTACACACTCTTTTTACAAGGTACGATATATCTATATATTTTGCCGTCAGAGATAGAAGCCCAAAGCATTTGACACCTGCTTACCTTAAAATACTTACCTTTAATATAAATTGAGCTATGTTGATACTGGCATCCGAGTCATTAGTTTGTCGCGTATGTCGGTAAACTTCTCTCGGCTGAGTGGCTTCGTGAAGAAATCACTGAGTAGCTGTTCTGATGGTATGTATTTTAGCTTGATGGTGTTGTTCGATGTGAGCTCCCTGATGTGATGATATCGTAGATCGACATGTTTTGTACGGCGGGATTTCGTGATACCATTTCCCATCAGTATTGCTGACTTGTTGTCCTGTTTTATGGTGGTGGGTTCTACGGCGGAATGCCGAATTCTGTGAAGAGATTCCTAACCCATACTGCGTCTTTGGCTGTATCAGATTGTGCTACGTATTCTGCCTCTGCTGTAGACGTTGTTACTATTCGTTGCAAGTTTGTTCCCCACATGAATGGTGCACCTGTTATAATGCCCACTCGCCCGGTGGTGGATCGTCTTGTTGTGTCATCGCTAGCAAAGCTACTGTCTGCACTCAGATAGGGAATACATGGTTCTTTGTTCGTGTATTCAAGTCCGAAGTCCTGAGTACCAGCGAGATACTTGAAACAACGCTTGGCACCTCTGAAGTGGTGGTACTGAGGAGGTGCCTTTCATTGTGTCAGCTAGTTTCTGTCCGCCAGTCTTACTCTAGCATGCTGCAATTTTGTCATCTACGTGTACAATAATGAAACACGGCCCACTGTGTGTTTGTTTGATGAACAGTGCTCCATCAGATTGTGCTTGTTTACAACTGTATTGTATAGTAAACCGATGAATAGCTTTAAACCAGTAGTGTCCGCTAGGTGGTAGACCGTATACGCAACGGTCAGCTCGACATACAACCTTTGTGTCTCCTTGCTTGTGACTTTCGTATAGTTTTCTCGGAGACGGGTCCAATAGATGCTTGATGAGATCGTATCCTTGCGGCCCTCGCATGTAGCTAGGGGTATCCAGTTCTTGAGTGAGGTAGGCCGAGGGTATATCGTATTGTCGAATGTCCATGTCATAGTGTGCCATTAGAGTTAGACAGATCCTGAGTGTTTCCTTGGCTACTACTAGGGCATAGCTTTCATCGTAATCGACTCCCTGTTTTGCATTGAATGCTGCTACGTTCAGACGTGATTTGAGTCGTGTGACTTGCCCTGATTCATCCGTTTTTGCCTTGAAGACCCATCGAGGGGGGAATATTGATTTCTCTCGCGGTTTGTAGTCAACCAGAGTGAATGCCGATTCCTCCCAATCGGCTGCGTTTGGTATCTCATATATACCTTTGTATGTTTTCGGTTCCATTGCTGCAGTTGCTGAATTCACAGTGTGCGTAGTACTAGGAGTTTGTCTCTTACGGCGGCTATCGTGATACCAGTCGACATTATTATCATCAATCGCAAGGTCCCACAGTTCTTGAGAGACTTGGCGACCTTCTGCCGTTCTTCTAGCTATGGTTGCTTTGAGATCGTGTTGTGTTTTGGTAGTCGCTGCAGAAGCCTCCGACTCAACGGTATGTACTTTGCTCTCAGCAGGTTGTTGTGTTGACGATGAAGTTATTTGTAATTGATCTGAGTTGCTCGACTTTTGCGTCACAGTTGGCTGGGCTTGTTGACTAAGCATATCTTCCGTTGTCGATGTTGTCCTTGCGTCTGTATGGAATTTGCCATTCTCCATTTGGAAGAATGCCCTGCTGTTCGTAGTGTCTGGTGGTGCGATAGCAGTTGTACATTTGTTGTCTTCTCAGACAAAGAATTCATCTTCGAATATATAGACGTCTTGGCTTTGTATTATACGCTTGGTCAGAGGTGAATATATACGATACGAGTCCGGTGTTGTGTCGAAGGGTTGCGCAAGAAGAATGCCATCCAGTGCTTTGTCGTCGAGTTTGCCGTCTGGATCACCTTTCTTGTATGCGATGTGACACCCGAATGTTCTGAACATATCTATCGGAAATGCGTATTCTGTAAACTTCTCGTATGGGGATGAGATCTTCTCGTTGGTGGGTATAGCATTGTATATGTTGGTAGTTTAAATCAGTGATTCAGCCCACATAGTAATCGGTAGACGTGCATACTTCAGTTGTGCAAGCATTCTAGGGACCAGTGTACTATGGAGTCTCTCTACCTTGCCATGGTATTGTGGCGTGGCAGTAGGTGCGTATCTCGAGCAGTATCCCAAATACGCAAGCATACGCCTCGTTATGTTTGCTGTAAACTGTGAGCCTCGATCCATTTGTATGCACTTAACTCGGCGGTGACTTAAGATGCACTATTCATCGAAGGTGTGTAACATAGCATCCAAAATTGTTGTCGCTTTCAGATCGCGGATCGGATACTCTTTGGCCATGCTAGAAAAGTCGTCTATGATTGATACAGAGTGGGTGTTGGATCCTATTGACGTTACGAACGGTCCTATTATGTCCACGAAGAATAACTCGAGAGGCTCTGTAGCAGGCTCGTGCTGTCGTTCCTTGTATGTATTCTTCTTCTTCGTCTTAGCAATAGTGCATGCTTTGCATCATTCTTCTGGTTGCCTTATGTAGGGTAAATCTTTTGGGACGTAGCTGGAGTGCGCAAGCCTGTTGTGCTATGAAATCTGGTTGGCTTTCTCCAGCGATGGTTCCACTGTAGTCATAGCTATGTCGTCGATGTGCACACAGTATATTCTGTGCTTTTTATGCACTGTTATGGTTCCGAAGTTTGGTAGTAATATATACATCATGTTGTTGGTGAATTCAAATGAGTAGTGTTGCGCTGAGAGTAGGCTGATACTTAGTAGTGCAGTTTTAAATGTCGTATCAATGAGTACGTCCCCCAAGTTTGCTAGCTGAGCCACATACTTCGGACAAATGATTGTACCATCAGTTACTTCGAGCGCATACCGGTCAGTAATGCGCATGTTGCTGACGAGATGATGTTTGTGGTACTTATAAGGAAGTACGTGTATGGTGGTACAACTATCGCAAGCCAGTCAGTACCTTGTTGTCGATTGTAGGGTTAATTTGCAGGTAGCTGGTCATCAGATACTTGGGAGCTTGGCGTCGATTGCTCTGGGATCTGTATGTTCTATCAATGTCTTGTGCACGTTGGGTATCTCGTGAATATCTACCATCGTCGTAGTCGCGTCGATTGTACCTATCTACTCGATAGTCCTGTCGGTCCTGATCATCGGAATTATCGTAGCGGTATTGGTAGCTGTTGTTTCTGTTGTACGGTTCCACACGGATACGGTAGTCACGATTCGAATCAGGTCGGCTTCTTGGACTTAAATCTGTAGTCTCTCATGTCGTGACGAGGACCAGATTTGTCAATCCGTCGATCGTAACGTTCACGACCGTCGTGGTCACGACCCTGATTATATGGGTTACCAGCAACGCATGATTTGATTAGCGCTTTACGATTGTTGCAGAATGCACAATTTCCTGTCGATATAGCTGCATGTGCACCGTGCACAATGGTTGATGAGTCACTTTCATCTGGATCCATTGCGATGAGATAGGTGGTGAGCTCATCATACGACATGTTGTATTTGGATAGCAAAATACACAAATTGTGATGCTCGTGGCTTCCTCTTCAACTTTGCCAAGAACGTCTGGGATTACCTCCCAGGGAGGATTCGCCCATGCGTTTATTTCATCTGCCCACTTTTGTAGTAATGCATTCTGTTTTTTGGCGTAGAACTTTGCTGTATGTGCATTGTGTGCCGCTGCAAACTAATTGATGGGAAGTTTGCCAAACCTGCGTTCTGCCTCTTTGTAGAATCGTGGATGTAGTTTCCAGTCTATGGCAGAAACCAGGAT